ACAACTGTTAGTTGTTTGACGTACTGTTTGTAGGCATCGATTTTTATGATTTCTCCCGCCCGCTATGATTCCATATCCTGCCTATAGTTCTGGTTGACTGCATTAGCATGTCAGAAGTTGGCTATCTTCGAGGGATACAGTACGGTATTGCAAGCTCGCGTGCTTAGCCGTGTTTTTCTGCACTCTAAGGGCTAGAGTGTTCTGCGGAACTAGAGCAGTTTGACCTTTATCCTTACCAAACTGAATATTTCGCTGGACAAATGAAACATTGTTTGTAGTCTTTGTAATCTTCATCAACAGCAGTACCATATACCGATTAGGCGCTGCGAGGCACTAAAACACATTTTCCTCTGTTTGGCAAACTGAATGCACTTCATCGCCTTGAAGGCTGTCATAACAGAGAAGCAAATGTATTGCATCGAACGACATCACTCGCATATGGCTGATTTTAGTCAAAGTCCAGCGGCAGCCATATAATTACTGCACCAAATGCAAGCGTCTGTCTGATGCGTATCATTGGTAACTTGGTACGCCATTTGCGGCATATAAACACCTACCTCTGTTGAGTTTGCTGGCTCCCATCAGGAGGCGTCCATGCGGTTTGACGAATTCGTTAATAAATCTCTTACAGTCAACGACTGAATAAATATTAGCGAAGATTAGCTTAGCAGGTGGCTGATGTCATCTTTCGGGATATGAATGCAACAGCGGTTGAACACCCTGCCAATTTATGCACTTGATGCCATACTTTGCGTTGATCTCGCTTCAAATCATTATGACATGATTTGACAATGCGTCTTTATCGCTCTCAGCTGAAACGTTTGTCAAAACGTCGGTTACTATTATAGTAGGCTTCACTTGTTAAACATTAAAGCGCCAAATGAGGACCCTCTCTGATACTTGTTCGATATGAACAACAGCTCGTTTAGTGAGCGAAATAAAATGCCACTTGAACCCACGATTACCTGCAGCAGCATGCAGTTTTATCTCTCTTGACCACTAACTTGATTCCGATCACCTAGGTCAGGCATTCCCTTCTAAAGAATGTGAGGTTCAATGAGCGCAAGTATGTCAGATTTCAGCGAGCGGACTACATAACGGTAAAAATGGAATTTACTCTCGTGAACTAACGAACAAACGCTCCAGCATGCAACTCTGAGCTTACTTTTCACAGTATTCTGAACTGGTACAGCTGATTTCTTGGTTGTAAATGTTTCCATTAAATTGCGAATGCGAATGAGTATCACATATTGCGCAGCTCCAGCAAGTGATGTCCTCATTCTCTAAAAATGCAGTTGGACTAGGTTTGTCCGATTCATAAAATTTGATTCCTTAACTTAATTTTTATCATTGCCCCTCTTAGTGTTTAGACAACTTGTCTATATTTTCCGTCGACGAAGAGTGGCGTTGTCTCACTGATGTTCATAGGTTAAGGAACAGGGCCAAAGGGTCGGCTATTTCTGTCGTGAGTTTAAAGTCATGCAAGTCATCATTTTCCTCCTTTGCCTCGTTTGGCGGTGTATACGCTACGACCACTGATAGCTTCGCGTGCATGATGTTGAAGCGTCACATCATTAGATGGTCTGATGGAAATTTCGCCAATACTACCGAGTTCCTGGCTCTAGGCCACAATGAGATAGCTGAACCTGATCGTTGGAACTGCAAATCACCGGACCGAATATGAGACCAGCCATTTGCAAGCTTCAGTTCATTAGCCGGTCAAATGAGTTTCAGAGATAAAAGCAATCTCCCTTCTTTGCTCTTGTACTGTTCAAAGGA